GTAGATAAATTTAACACACCCCGTCCATTTCTTTTTGTATATGTGCGTGTCAGTTAGTCAGTCAGTGTATGTGTGTGTGAGTGTGTGTGTGTACATTTCTCTAGAGCATCCACTTGAAGCCCGAAGAAGAAGAGGCAGAAACAGAAGACGAAGGCGCCCCGAGAATGCCTCTTGATGTGCTATTTTTACAAATTTTAGGTTAAAATACTTTGGCCAAGTGGCTCTGGCAGCAGCACAAGCATGTGTCAGGACGCACACACACACTCGCACATACACAGATAGAATAGTATCAGCACCAGCCTACAAACACACAAACACAAGGCTTTAAGGACGAAGGAGCCGCATCTGCGAGGCGTTGTAGCGTAACGAATCTCAAAAGGCTGCCACTGCTGCTTGATGCCAAAAATAAAGCGAGAAATGAAAACGTGGCAAAAGTCAAAGAATTGTTAGTGCACACACCCTGGGAAATCTATTTAAGACTTCATTTTCCTAGTTTCTCAGCTAAAGAATAAATTTATTTGTGTGCCGTAACGCAAGACATTTATTTTGGGTGAAGTGTTTGGAATATTATTACGATGCTTTGCAAGAAATTTGTAAAATAAATACTTGTGAAAAACTATATCTTAATTAAAGGTTTAATAAAAGTAAGCAAAAGTATATAAATGCTGTAAAGGAGTTTCTATTTTTTAATGGAGCACTAAAATTTGTGCTTTCAAAATATTATTTCTTTGTATTGCAGTTTCACAATCCTTGTAAAATGATTCGTACTCAATGCGTCTATCAAAGCTTTATATTAAGTTACAAGGACAAAAATATCAATGAAATAATTGCCGAAATCGTAACCAGAGTGCAGACCATACATTTATCCAAAAGGATTACAATTAACTCAATTTGATTTAAAGTTGGTCAAATTGATTGGATAAAGTTACACAAGTTAGTTAATTTGAAGCACTTTGATGCTTAAACGAGTGATTAGTAAATTAGATGTGTTGTATTTCGATGAAAAGAAGCCTGCTGCAATCACGAATGTAAATTGAATGGAAATATATATGATTAATAAATTCGATTGAGCCGGCCGAAGGCGGTGAATAATTGTGGTAAATTAAATGTTTAGTCATCGGAAGAGAATTTCTCTCTCAGCTTTGCAAAATCTAAATTTATTTTTCATTAATTCAGTGCACACACACACTTGGCCATTTCTGGTCCTGGCTCTGTGGCCCCCGAAACATATTCAACTTTGACATTTAACCTCACCTTCCATCCAACTCCCCCTCGTGCAGAGAACTCTGCTTCATTGACTCAACTTGATTAGTTGCTGCGACAGTTGTCGTTGTACCGAGTATACTCGTATAGTCCCGAACATTTTGTACAAAATAATTACAGAGCATGAAATTGAATTGAATGAAATGCCATTTCATGGAATTACCCGGAAAACTTTTTTCCTTCCTCTCCTGGCTCGTAAAGTTTCCTTTTTTTTCGCCAGCTCTCTATATTTATTTTGTAAGCTCGTATGCGAGTGAGCACACGGGACAATTTCGAACCTTTTTTCAACGTTTTTTCCCCCAGTTTGTGAAAACATTAATTAAATGCTCAGTCAGTGGCATTAAACTGGGCAAACTGTGAACAGAAAACATTGAATCAGTTGAAAAATTTCGAGCAGAACACAAATACATAATACGTGGAGCACATTAAGATTGTGGGTAGAAATCATTTATGAAAACAGTTTGCAACAAGCGGGAAAATAAAAAATGGAAGTCAAAAAAACCAGAGAGAGAGAGAGAGAGACAACGAATAAAAAAACACAAACCAAAATGGTTTATGTTAAATTTGCTGGAAAACTCAAACACAGTGGTGGCGAGAGGAGGGTCAAAAGCAAATTGCAAATGATGAAACTTTGCCCATCATAAACGCCATTTTATGTTATCCAATATGGCGTCGCTTTCTGCCCTTTTTTCCTCAGCCATAAAATTTTCACTTTTTAGTTTCGGGGCCGAAAAACTTTTTGCCCTGCCGAGGGTTGAGCGGTCCGAGAGAGCTGGCTAATCGCACATATTTCCACATCAATAACAATTACCAAAAGGACCCAGGACCAAACAAAAACTCATCTCATTTGGTATGCAAGAGTACGGAATATTTTCCCCGAAAAGATTTTCCACACCATTTGCCGGAGGACTTTAAAATTCTGGGGCTTAAAGCAGCGCCCACTTAACCTCGTCGCCGGCAACAATTTGGGTTAGTTGCAAATGTATGTCAGTTGCTAATTAGCCGCACTTCACTGGACCGCGGCTCCTACGGAAAATAATAATGCATATTCATAGGCGCGCCTTCTATGTGGCGATGTCACGCATACGCCACGTGAAACGCCACCACTCAAAAGTCCTTGAAACGGGCGGTGGCAGCAGCAGCAGCAGCAACAGTGCAACACGAAGCCCATAAGTGCCTTTTCACGCGGTGGGCGTGGCCATCTGCCCACGACAGCAGAAAAATAAATACAATCTTGCTTGCTATGAACAAAAAGATCGGTTAAGTTGGTGGAAAGTGATTCCTAAATGCCGAGTTTACATGTCGATAGGGATTAATAGATTTGCATACAACAAAACTGAATTAAGATTTAAAAAGATTAAATTAAATTAATGCATAATAATACTAGAAAATAAATGTGAGGTTTAACCTTTTTCCTAATACAGTTAAATAGTTATTCCCTTTTCAGGAAAAAGTAATTAATGTTTAAGTTGCAAATTCTTTTTCCCTCCAAAATCACTTCAGATTTCAACCATATTGTTTTGTTATTTCCCTGAGCATGCTTAGCAATCTCCAAGCAATTACTTTAAAAGTAGCAGGAAGAGAGCCCGAAATTGCAACTACAAGGTATTTGAGAAAATCACATATTTTAACTCAAGCGGGTTCTATCTGACTCGGGAACGCTTTGGTTGCCTTTTTCCGTACTCGGCATTGTGTCTGCAGGGCATTTTGCCAATTCATTTTCACTTCGAGTAAAATTAATTAGAAATCAACAAAATGAGCAGAAAACGAAAAAGCGCCAAGCTCAGACAGTGCCTTACATAAATCTCGTTCGCCTGAGCCCTAAAAGCACGAGCAAAAAATAAAAAAACTGGAGGGAAAACCCAAGAGGCATCCAAAGAAGGAAGGAGCTCAAAAAAATAAAATAAATAGAAATAATAAGAGAAAAACATTTTTCACTCCTGGCAATGGACAATGAGGAAAGACCAAGTTCCTCGCCCCCTCTAAACAACAATGAAAATGAATGAATAATATGAAAAGATTTTTCAGTTGCATTTTTTCCCGTTGCCAAACTTATCGTTGCTTTCTTTAGACCTTTCCCTTCCATGGCTATTTGTAATTGAAAACATTTTTGTGGCTTTATGAGTACTAACGCAACCCACGAAAAGGCCCCTGACCATACAGGCTAATAATCATTATTATTTCAGTTTTCTTTGCGGTCATTGGGCTTGATTTTTGTTGTAATTATTGAAAATGTGCTAGCGCACAGGCTGCTTTCCACTTTTCCACTTGCTTGTGGGGATTTTTAATGAAATTTTCCTTGTTCAACACACGAACAATGAGTGTCATTATCATTCCGGTTCGTCAGTCAGTCAGTTAGTCAAATATTTGTATAATTTGTCTTTATTGTCATTGACATTAGGCACATTTGTTGCCTCGATTATCTGGGCATTCTTTAAGTGGACAAACAGCTGACGCTGCTAATGGCAGCGGGAAATGGTGGGGCTTTTGAAGTGCGGCTGTGGTTTTGGTGGTGGGTGCCCGCCCGCCTTAGATTTCTCTTATTCGCTCGAGATTACGTCTTCAGTTTCCGCCTCTGTTTGCGCGCGACTCGTGTAATTTGTATTGCAAAGTTGAAAAATGTATGCAAATTATTATTTACTTCTTGTTTTATTTCCCCACAAGACGGAGACCCCTAACATTTTTAAAGAAATAATAGACAATGAGCTTTAATAAGGTTGGCTAAAACTGACAAAAATATTTACCAATTTATCGTCAAACTGCATATTTATATATTTTTTAGGGTGTTTTCCCTAGAACCCCTTCTGAATAAATAACAAAAAACAACCAAAAATATTCAAAGAAAAAGTTTAGAGCTTAGAAACATAAAAAGGCAAACAAAAAACCGTAGATATCTAAACAAGCACCCATTTCACATGAAAGCACAGCTCTGGCGCAAAGCCCATTTTCTTTTCAAACTTCTTCAACCTGAACATTTGAGTTGATTTTCGGATTACCCCGACAATGCCGCTTCAAAATTCTTTCCAACTTGAAAACATAAGCAATACACATTTTTCGGAATATAATGGAAACCCACTCCTCAGCTGCGGATAATAAATGATAATGAGAAACAGCCCGGTACGCGACACGCAGCCAGGAACAGGATAATCATCAGGCAAGATAAGCAAATTGACGGCGGCCATGGAGCATTGAGGAGGCTAACAACCAGAAGATACCAGCTGAAGTCTACGTCCCCGCGCTGTCTAATTATTTCAATATTTAATGACTGTAAAAAATCAAAAGAAGCCTATGTAAATGATGCACTCACAAAAAATGATTGTGCTTAGGTTTTGGAAAATAAATCTTAGTTGGTTGCTTTCTTTTAAGTAAGTATTTAAGTTGTTTTCCTAAATAAGAAACCTTAGGCCAAACTAATTGTTTTATAAATATTTGAAGTTGAGTTGAATTTAGTCTACCATTCTCTGTAGGAATATTTCTTACAATTATCAGGTTTATTCAGTTGATAAAAAATCAATAGCCGTAACAATTATTTAAGTTGCTGACCGAATTAGTTTGTTTTCCTAAATTTTATGTTTAAAATATTTTCAAAAATATTGATGGTCATATTTTAAGTTGAATCCTTTTCAAAGTTAATGTTTGTATTTTCAATATTTCTTTTGAGTTTTCAGATATTTTTTGAGGAGTCAGAATAAGTTTGTCAGTGTTACAAATTTATTCCAGGCAATACGATTTTAATTCTACTCAAGGACCTCCGCAAGGACACTCACCACGGGCACAGGTATCACGCAGTAGACGCAAGGATGCCCACCAACAGCAGCGGCGGCGGTGGCGGTCGGCAGTCCGTAGGCGGCGCACAGATGGTGATCCGTCTTAAATATCTTTGTTGGCGGCGGCTGGGCAATCAGCGACGAGGAGGCGCTGGAGCACGTGTACAGCGTCGTGGTGGTGCTGGTGTTGCTGCTGTTGCAGGTGGTATTGCTGTTGCTATTGCTCTTGTTGTTGTTGTTGCTGCTGCCGGTGCTGCTGCTGTTGCTGCCGGTGCTGTTGCTGCCGCTGCTGCTGTTGCTATTGCCGCTGTAGATGTTGCTGATGTTGTCGCCGTTGGTGTTGCTGTTGCTTGTCCTGCTTGCGGTTTTGCTAGCCTTGCTAACTCCTGATGTTGCTGTTGCTGTTGCGATTGCTGTTGTACCGGCAACACTTGTTGTTGCTGCTGCTGCTGCTGCCGCTGATTGAGCTGCTGTTGCGGTTTCCTGCGGTGGTGGTGGTGGCGGCGGCGGTGGTGGTGGTGGTTGCTGCTGACTCAAGGAGCTTGCCTTGGGATATTTAGCGCCCGATGCTGCTCCTCCGGATGTTGCTCCTGTGGGTGTTGCTCCTGCTGGTGTTGCTCCTGCCGCCGCTGCTGCTGCTGCTGCTGCTGATGTTGGTGTTTGCACAACTGTTGCCACCAATTGGCTTACAGCTGCTGCCTCAAATTCGCCGGACTGTGGCTCCTGTTTTGTGTCCTGTTGGCTGAAATTGGCTAGCTTCGATGTTGCTGCGGGCAATGGCGAGGTTTTTCTCTTGATTGACGCAATTTTAATGGCTATTGGTGAGCAGGTTGATTGTAAATTGATTTCGAGAGCGCCGTTGTCCTCCCCGTTTTATTGCTGCCTTTGTTTGCGACTGTCTGAGCCCTGTCTGCCTTTGTGTCTGATTAGTTCAGTTTCGTATCGATTTTATTTAGAACATTGACTAGTTAGTAATGCGATTTTATATTGGCTAAACACTGAACACTTATTTAAGTTGAATTTTAATTTTTTTTGTTTTCTGTTGTAGTTACTTAAGCACACACATAAATAGACACAATTATTTTTTTTGGTTTTGTTTATTCAAGCTAAGCTTTTTTCAACTAATTTTTTGTTTTAATGGCAATTTGCTAAATCTTTTTCACTCACAATTAAGCTAGTATTTATGTTTCTTACTTTTAAGCTAAAGTCACAAATTTAATTTGGTTTTTATTTTAACTTTATTGTCTCTATTTATCGCTTAGAGTTTTTTTTAATATACTTTATTAAAATAATACTGTAGATCTTTGCTTTGGTGTTCACTTTACAGTTTTCTTTAATATTACTTAATATTTTGCTTTGCGAGTTTTTAACCCTTTTTAGTTGTGTTTCTCTGTTTTTATTTAGAGTTCTTAGTTGGCTAAGATTCGTAGGAATTTTCGCTGACAATTGTTGCGCTGAGAGACTGGAATCCTTTGACTACTTTGAGTAGTAAGTTCTTGAGCAGAATATTTTAGTGTAAACTTCTAGATTTTCACGCTTTGTAAATAATACTGAACTTCACTTGCACTTGCACTTTCCGATTCTCTCAGTGGTTAATATGTATAAATATATTTGTAAATCATGGACAGAATGAACTGACTTCGACGCAGATTACGTATACGCACGGGGAAATGGAAATATAAATATATATATATTTATATATATTTAATGCAGAATCTTGCGGTATGCCGTTTTAAAAACTTTATCGAAAACACAAAATGGCGAGCTTGCACTGTGGAAAGGATGTTTTGGAGAACTCCTCGGGCTCCTCGCTTGGCTATTTTCGAATAGGTTTGGTTTTGGGCTTGAATTTGATTCTCGTTTTGGATTTCAACGATTCGTTTTGGTTTTGGCTTCAGACTTGGCTGGTTCGTCTCCGGCAATCTCTGTGTGCTTGGGGCTCTGTGGTCGCTTTCCGCTTTTGTGGTGCGCAAAATGAGGAAAAGGCGTTTGTAACTGAACTTGACAATCGTCGAATGGATTCTGAATTTCTCATTGAGTAAGGTTTTGAGTAAGGCCCCAGCTTCGCAGTTCGTTTCGGTGATGGAGCTTCGGTTTTGGCACTTCGTGGACTCGATTGCATTGTGAGCCGGCAAAATTGTTTGCCATCAACAGGATCCACAAGCCGACGCAGGCGCAGGACTCAAAGGCGTTTCGTTTGCCATTCAGCGCTGCAACTTAGCATCTGGGCTTTTGGAGGCGGGGGGAGTCCTTATTCCCCCATCCGTCTGGTCAGCAGCTTCAATTGAAATGCATCCCAGCCTATGCGGTCGCAATTACCTTAACAACTCTCCGCCTGCTCACGATTGTCAACATCGAATTTAATCACAAATTACTACGTGACCAAGCACACAAACTTCTTACTACAGGAAGTATAAATATTTTGTTGATCAAACTTTTTAGCGCACAAACTCAAATACTGTAAAGTTTTTCCGAAACAATTTTCGGCTGGCGAAGTCAAACAGAAATTGTAAAAGGAAAATTAATGGAAGGAAAGGGGCAAGAAAAACAAATTATTCAGGTAAAAGCGAAAAATTGCGTAGGAGGAGCAAATCAAAGGAGTGTAAATGATATTTCCTTTAGCTTATTTCCTGAAGAATTAAATTTCCTAATTACTGAAGTAAGAGTAAGACATAAAAGTGACTAAAGTGCTGGGAGGGATATTTTATTTTCTAAGGCTTTAGATGTATCAAAAGGCTTAGTTTAAATGACAGAAAAAAATATATAATGTGAAAGAAGATACTCGTATGTATAAAATACCTAAATCTGTCCTGGGTAAAAGCATATTTTATTTAGGTATAAAATCCGCGAAAAAAATAGTTTTGGTTTTCTCAATTAACTTAAGTAGAAAATATTAAAAAATCTCTAAGGAGAATTGTTTGTTTTCGCTACTTAAAAACTTTTTTTTAATTTAATAACCAAAACTTTTCTCAAACTCGACATCCAGAATCTTTTTTTACGAAAAACTCTGCCCCATTTCCATAAAAAAGTGTGGTCCAAAGTAATTTTGAATACATCTTCACTTAACTCCATAAACTTCAGCAAGTTGCCCGCTTCCTCTTTTATTTATTTACTTTCCTTTCTTCATTTTTCTGTGTAGGACACAAAATGCGAAATATAATTTTCATTCCAGCCACAATAACTGACGTCGACTGCGACGCTGACTAAGCGCGACTGTTTACAATATTTGCCGTATTTGCCTCACTTTTACCCACTCCTAACCTTCTTTTTTTTTTTTGTCCAGAATTTTTATTTTGATGTGGTCTGCCAGAATGTTCTGGCTGTTGTTGTTGCCGGGAGTTGAAAGCTGTTTAAATGAAAGAACGTTCCCGTGGAAAGCCAAAGCAACGCCTGTTGGCCATTAGAGGATGCCAAATAGATGGTGCCTACAAAGCGAGCACACCTGGAGGGATTGCAGGCAACCAGGGGAGGGATTGGGCTACCCAAAAACGCAGCAAACGAGCAACATCAGCCCCAATTTCGTAGTACCCCATCTCTTTGTATTATGCCGCAACAGCTTTGAATAGTTTATTATATGGAATACATATACAAAGCGTGTACACCAACAAAAATAAGGGAAAGTTGAACTATGAAATGAGCTATATCATAACTAATATTATTAAGAATAAGGTTCCCAAAAATGAGTATAAGAAAATATCAATGTAGTTTGTTAATAAACGTTTCGATAGTTTAAAGTGCTCCGGTAAGATATAGAAAGATTATAAAATATGTACATATATATAAAAATTATAATATTTCGAATTCGTGGTACCCCAATATAATACTCATTATTTCCTGTGCAGAAATATGCACGCAGGTAAACCGGATTTTGTCAGTTGATGAATGAAGGACGAGGGGGACTACTTACAAATGTTGCCTTTGTGTGATTTCCATTTCATGCTTTTCATTTTATTTTTTTTTGTGGGTGTGCGTTGTTGGTGTTTAGAAAGCAAATGCATAAATTATGATGTAAATTTCACAATGCACAGAACCACACCCCCTAAAAATGTGTAATACCATTGAAATTAGCAAAAAGGAAATCCAGCTAAAATGGTCCTTTCTTCGTCGTCCTGTCTTTGTGTATGTGTGAATAATGATTTATCAGGTAGGAGGATAATGGTGCCACTATTGGCCCGATTCTCTCATCGAGATTAGGCGACTGCACTGCAACTGTCAGCAAATTGATGGCGAAAATGGTTAGAAGAAATCCATATCATTGCCGGGCCATGGCAGCCGCATCAGCGGGAGCAATTTTCCACTCAAATGCGTGCCCCTCCCCGTGCCCCCCGTGTTTTCCCCGCTTTTCCCGGCTTTTTCCCCAGTTTTCCTCCCGCATTTTCCCGGATTCAACAACTCTGCGTATGACACATGTCGATTGCAGTGGCGCCCCCTATCGCCCGCAAGGCAAAAATGGCGCCTCCTATGTGGAAAGGAGCATCAGAATCAGAAATCATCAGCCTGAGTCCGATTTGAATGAACGATTGAGTGAGTGAGTGACTGTGTGACTGACTGACTGAGTGACTGACTGACTAGCGGGAGTGCAAGCGAGTGAGCCGGTTGATTGCTTGATTGATGCATGGAGCAATTGATTGATTGATGCCTTTGTTGGCTCTTGATTGCTTAGCTGTTTGGCCAACACTTTTTGAACATGGCTATTTTCAACTGGTTTGGATTTTTGATGGGGTCATCCGGCCTATCAAACTTAAATGATTTCTATTACAGTCTACTGTAGGTCATTCCTAAGTAAAATATAATCAATATTGCTAAAGACTTAATATGATATTTTCAGAAAGTCCAACTTAATGTATTTGCTGTTAATTCTCAAATATTTTTACATAGAAACATAAAATTATTCATTTTAACAATTTGTCATCTAAAAACTAAATAAATTTGTTTACATTTCTATCATAAGACAAAAGAATAAAAATACATATCTTGATTAAAGTCTCTAAATATATTTTTCAAATATAATGCAATCTAGCTTTTGCACACTACCACCCCATTAATCCCTATAGATTAAATTGATCCGGAACTATATTTTGCTTGTGTTAATTTTCCCAAATGCTTTGACCCAGATCACTTGAAGTGATCGCTAACCAATAAATAATAATCTAAAATTATCCGCCTTAAATATAGACGTGATTTATGTCCGACTTACGTTTGCATAATTCTGGGATCGCGGAATCTGTGGCGGCAATTGCTGGGCGTTCGACTGTCCCCTCATGTTACCGCCGATTTTGATTAAAGGTGACAGTATTCTTAACACTTAAATCGTATTTTATCTAAGTCAACCCTAGGGTTATATATTATTTTAGATTAAACAATTATGGGACGAAATCAAAATAAATTGAACTACATTTTAATTTGATTTTGATTTTAAAATACTTTAAAAGTATACCCAAAACTTTTTGCCGTGTTTTTATTTTTAATAATTATTTTTCTTGCAACTTTGTAGCTTATTTTCGGGAGCACTTAATTTCTTTTGTTGTTGTTCTTGCAACGGAGCGTTCAGCGAGTTATTTTAACACTATAGCGTACTCTTTCCCGCGCAGCAATTGCAACATTTGCATTTCGGCATTAAAAATAGCTCACAGCCAGCCAATTTTTTTGCAAATTTATTTTTACGCTGCCAGACAGGCGTAAACATACATACACAGACACTATAATTTATTGATATGCAGGGGGAAATTATTCAATTGCAAATTGTTTTACGCTACTGCTTTTTATCAATTGCACTTGTTGTATTTTGTTGTTGCTTATTTAAGGACAATGACAGCTCGAGCAAGAGAGGGAGCGCAGATGACAGCTGACGCAGAGAGAGAGAGGCGCGGAAGAGAGCACCGGCGACGAAGACAACAAGTGAGCAAAGCAAAAACGGGAAAAAAAATATTTGCACTATGATAAGATTTAAATAATTACACTAATCACGCCCGCTCTCCCGCTCTCTGAGAGCGTTTTAGTTAAATTTAATTTTATTAATGTTTTTTATGCACTGCTGTTCTTATTTATGTATTTTTATGCCATTTCTTTTCATTTTGTATCGAGTGCATTGCACTAAAACAACAACATTCGCTTTCAATTAGCTGAGAACTGCGAATTTGTTGTTTTTGCCAATTGTTACGTCTGCTTTGCGGGGCTTCCAAAGGTTGTTTTTTTTTGTTCTTTGTGCCGTTTTATGCTGCTTACTTATTGGATTTTTTTAATTGTTGGCCTGTCAGCTGCTGTTGCTTCTTCTTCTTGCTTCTTGTTGCACGTTCTGTTTTCCACACACAAAACACACACACTCAGTCGCACAAACACAAACACTCACGCGCGCACAAACAGACAATTCGCACTTGAAAGTTATGTGGATTTCGTTTGGATTTGTTCGCTATTTCCCTTCTTCCTTTTCAATTTGTTTGTTGTTTCGTCACGCTGTTTAATTTATATATTTATTCAAAATATTACAACGACAAAATATAAGTTTGCGCAGCCGAAAAAACGAAGAAAGCGCAACGCGACAACGACGGTAATCGTATGAGAGTGATTGTGGGAGTGTAGAAGAATTTTGGCGCTCTCTCGTTTGACTCTCATTTGGGCGCTCTCTCTCTCTCTCTCTCTGCGCCTACGCCGGCAAACTTTGCTCTCGCGCTCTCTCTCTCTTTCTCTCACGCAAGTCTATATTTGTTGCTGTTGCGAATCGCAAATAGAAATTTAAATAATTAACTAAATGGAAATGATAAAAAAAGCAAAGAAGCTGCCTCTCCCAGCTTGCGAATAAATAATGCAAAAACAAAAAGCCTCGAACTATTTTACTAATCTGTGCAGTTGAAAATCTTGCGAAAACGCGTTATTTGTGTGATACTTTATGACACAAATGACGAGCAATTTATGGTATTTAAAATAAAAATACCAAACTTTACACTGGCCTCCACATTATATGTTCTGCATAGAGATTTGGTATTAGTTTTTTTGTGGGGCCACGGTGGATATTGTTAACGATTTATTCAAATAAACTTAAATAAAAATAAACGAGTATTGGAACTACAAATCTCTAAAGCCTATTTATTGCTTTAAGTTAACAAGTTTGAGATGCACACTTAACCGATCTTATTTTTTGGGGAATTCAAAATATGTATGTGCTTCACATTTGAAATATCTGTGAGTTTATACTTGGGGAGGGGAATTAATCCCATTAGCTAACTTCATTACGTAAATGTCGCAAAATAAAATGAATAAAACAACAAAGCAAGGACCCAAAACTGCGATGCCAGCAACTTGTGTGTTATTTTGAAATATTTAAATAAAATTAATATTCTCAACAAGTGCGTCGCATAAAAGTGCGACACCCACCACATATCCGCCCAACCACGCACGTCCTGCCTCCCACTTTTCCCCACCCACTTCTCCTTTAGCTTTTGGCACATAACAAAGGACTAAGGGACTAAACAAATGATGCATGATGACGACAACAAAAAATAAGGAGGCAGCTCCCACGCATTTTAGAGCTCGGCCACGCCCATCGCCATTTAAAGCCCATCCACTCATACACCTGTGGTTGAAACTAAATAAACAAGTGCTTTGCCGAAAACACCTTTCTTCATATTGGCATAGGTCTTGAGAAATTTTTCAAAAAAAAAAAAAAACAAAGTTTTTATGTTTCAAAAGATTTTAAATTATTACAATTTATTTAGTTTACTGAAAAAAAAAAACACAATTTATTTAAAATCCATTCTTTTTACGAATAATCATCTTTTCAGAATTGAATATCACTTAATTTACAAAATCTTTTAAATGCGTTTACTCATACTATTTCACCCACCACTGTACAAACTCCACCACTTTTACATATGAGACAGTCTGTAAACAATACCACGCCCTCCGCCCCCTAAGCCTACAAACAATAAATTTGCGATAGCAATGACAAAATTTGAAGAATGGGCCAGGACCAACGAATAAGAAGAAGAATCAGGAGCAGACAGAAAGGACAATACTCGAAATGAAACTGGAACGCTGAAAGAAGGCCAAAAAAAAAAAAAAAAAATGGAAATACAACAAAACATGCAAGGAATTTAAATTTATCTTAAATATGCAAATTTAATGACACTATCGAGATATGCAAATTTCCCAAAGCGGAGAAAAAAAAAAAAAATACAACGAAATTGGAGCAAGAAATCAAACAATTTCTGTACAGTGAGGATTCCTTAGAAGAAAAATAAAAAAATTATAAAACATATTTATACTAACATAAAATGTAGAAATTATTAAAGGAATAAAATTAAAATTAAGTAAAATACTTAAAACTTGCTTAAACAAAGCATTCTCAAAAATGTGTAGTTTTTTATGGAACAGTCACATAGTATAAAAAAATTGGAGTCCCTACTGTGCAAGAAAAATGGAGCAAGAAATCAAAAAATGCCAATAAATGGAAAGATGGGGCAGATAGTGGAAAAAGACAGAATCTCACGCACAGTGGACTGAAACACTTTCGCCTAAAACGCATGAAAAATAACATATATTGGAGGCATGGGGAAATGGGGAAATGGGGAAATGGCATGCAAGATGGATAGCTTCGGGGCGGAAAGTTGCCGGCAGATAAGGGGAGGGCCTCTCTGCGGCCGAAATGACGACGCGTTGGTATTTTCATTAAGTTTGGCACCATTTTCCTTTTGTTACCCACTCCCAACCCCATTTTTTTCTCACTCGGCCTGCTCATTCTTATCCATATTTTGCTGCCTTGCAGTGAAAGCAAAAAACAATGCTTTAAATTAAATTTTAGAAAAAAAAAACCAAAAAAAAAAAAAAAGAAATTTCATGATAGGTACTGAAAAAAGAATAACTCAATCAATAAAATAAAGAAAATGTTTAGCAACAGTTCGCAGATACATAGATTACAAATTTATGTAAATCCTAAACATTTTTGAAAATTAGTGTAATTAAACCACATTGGATGAAAACCTCATGGTATTTGCGTTCAGTGTAGAGATTCTTGGCCACCGCTTGAAGCGCAAAAAATTCTTGTCGCGCAACAGCAGCAAAAAGGAGGCGGCTAAAAGCGGGGGGCTTTTGGGGAAGGGAGCGAGCGAGTGGGAAGACCGCTGCTACGTGACCGTAAGCAATTTGCAGTGTGGGCGGAAAGGCCGGGAAAAGTGGGCGGAAAGGAGGAGGCGGAATAACAGTGGCAGTATAAAAGGGGCACGGGTAGCACTCCTCACTGCGTAATCGCATCAAGAAAGTGAAATGTCAGCTGTTTCCATCATCTTGGCGCTGTGACTGCCAGGAATTCAAGCTAGTTAAAAAATAGAAAAAAGGATGAATTCTATGGGTCTAAAGGCAATAAAAGCAACTACTACTTTCCCAATGGAATGCATTGTATAGGTCACTGCGTAGAACCAACAAAAAAAAAACAATGGAAAACCTACAGAACCAGAAGAAGTGAAGTGCAGGAAACGCTGGCGCGTGATCTAAGGATAATTTATGACACGCCTAAGGAGAAATGAGTGGGGGGAAGTAGAGGATTTCAGGACAGGACTGACTTTGAGATAAGGACCGCTCAAGGCAAGCTGGAGAATTTAAATTCAATCAAATTGCAGTCGGTAATTGCTCGGTCATAAATGGAAAGCAGCTCAGTTCTTGGAATTAATGTGTTGAAAAAAGGTCATTTTTTCAAGGGCTTCGATTAAATAATATCAGATTGGCAAGAAATACAACTGTATAATTCAGGGAAATTGTAGAACCACTTTGAACAGTTAAAGCCAAAGTGAATTATTGCATTTTCCATAAATGTGGCTAAAGGATAATTTATTTCCGATAGAATGCATTGCCTTTAAATACAAAATCAAATTGAATATAATGGCATTTAATAGAGACAACCACCCCAAGTCATTAGCAGTAAACCTCAACGCAAATATTTCCCCAGAAACGAAATGTTCTCGCCTTCCAATCGCCAACCCAATTCACATTCGCTATCAATGTCTTTGGCTTTCGATATCGCATTAATATGTTCAGAAACACACATCAAAGAACACCCCCCATTTATACATGCAATACATTACGTTCATAATCCATTTTCGCCCGAGCAGACATTGAATGTCATTGGCAAAATTAATTTATATAAAATGACATAGATTTAATATGCGAATGAAGGAAGAATATTGATGTTGGCTTCCCCACTTTCCCACCCCGCTCCCAGCTCCACATTTCCGCGTAATTACCTCTATGTGAGGAAAATGAGGAAAAGTGGAG